AAATTTGCAATTTATAAAGAAATATACACAAGCAATTAATATAAATAATTTAAATTTATTTAAAAAAAAAAAACAAATCAAGGTTTGTGTGTACTTTATGAAAACACGTATATTATTTAGTTATTATATAAAAGTTTCTAAATCCAAAATTAATGAAATAATGAAATGCTCTCTTCTATTATAAATTAACTATGTATAATTTTCATTTTTATTCAAGATAAAAATTTAAATACTTATGTATATATATTATTATTATTATATCTTATGAAATAAACATTTATTTTTATTTCTAGGAAAAACATGTCTAGTACATCACAAAAGCACAAAAACTTTGTTGCTGAACCAATGGGTGATAAGCCTGTTACAGATCTTGCTGGAGTTGGTGAAGTTCTAGGACGTAGATTAGAAGCAGCTGGTTTTGATAGAGTATGATAGATTTTTATATGAATTAACATATTATTTTATATTCTTTGTCTTATATTTTATTAATAATTTTATTATTATTAATAAAATTCAATGTAAATGATGTTAAATTTTAAATAATATTATATAAATAATATTTCTTATATCAGGAATGTGACAAAAGATTAAAAAATTCATTTATACTTCTATTTAAATATATCACTTAATATATTAATATTTATTAACGATTCTAGGCATATGTAGTACTTGGTCAGTACTTGGTTTTAAAAAAGAATAGAGAATTATTTCAAGAATGGATGAAAGATGCATGTTCTGCTAATGCGAAGCAGTCTAGTGATTGTTATCAGTGCCTCTCTGATTGGTGTGAAGAATTTTTGTAAAATTATTATAAAATTTAATGTTAATATTATAAAAATGAATTTTAATATAGCAAAATATCTATTATAATATTTTAATGCAAAATGTAAAAACTGTTTCACTTTTGTGAATTTAAGATAATTTTAGATAATCCAAAATATAGTACAATAAAAGTGATTATCTAAAAAAATATTTTAAAATTTAACATAAATATAAAATGATAATTCAATTTAGACTTTTACTTACCGAATACCAGAAAGGTATATCACTTTGTGCATTAGTTTTGAATTAATATTGATTTTCAGTTACATTTTATTTATTTTTTAATATATATCTACTTTTTAAATGATTACATTTTTTACATTTTTGCATACAAATAATATGTAAACTGAATATTTTACTTATAACACTAACAAAATTTTTATAAGTCATGTTTAAAATTGTAAAAATTGAAAAAATTAATTTCAATATATACGTTTGGATAATATTTAATAATTCGAATATTTTAGTTTATCACAAATATATGTTATAAAGTGTAATAATGTTTTACATTTAACAAGATATATGTATTAATTTATAGGCAAAGGTTTCTTTAGTGACTGTCCCAAATCAACTTTCTTTTTCCAGTTTTATTTTTAAGAAATGCCAACACGTTCGTAATACATGTGAAGGTTCACTGTAATAGTACCAAATATTTTTGCAAATATCTAGAAAACTAAGGTAGAAAAAGAATTATTATTCAAATAGAAGTGGTTCAGAATTTCATTCCCTGTAACATGTCAAATCATTGGAATCAAATTTTGTCAAATTTTGTTTTTTTGTAAAAAAATAGCAAAAGCACATTACTTTTTGAAGTTCCCCTAATCTATATTTCTTATTAATACTAATATAAAGTACTTTTTGAGAAAAGTCGAAAGAAAATAAATTGATTCTGGGTAGTCACTAAAGTAAACGTTTATCAAATCACACAACTACTAAATGAGATTTAAACTAAATGTTAATAATATTGTTTTGTATAATATATTTTTATATACTGTTAATAAATAGTTAATATTAAATTAATTATTATCAGTTCTACAATGAAAATTAAATAAATAATCGTAATTTCTATTTAGTAAAATTTATTGTCGTGAGTAATAAGGTTAGCTAGTTTAAAATATATCACGTGGAAAACATAACATTAACGCAATACGGTTTGCTCACCAGTATCTATTTATCATGACAAGCAGCTTATTAAGATGTAGCAATCATTTTAGAAATGACATAAAACTTATAACAATTAACAAAAATAAGAAAGTGATAAATTTCATACCTTTACAAGGTAATAAAACATTTGTTAGTTGGATAAGGTTAGTTCTTAAGTAAGGTAAATATATTCTATTTTTAAGGTATTATTAATGTAATTTTTATAGTTGTGTATTTAGTTGTGCAGGTGAGAAAGACAAATTTACATCACAGATAAAAAGTAAGAAGGAAATTAAAGAACTATTGATAACTAAAACACTTAACAGTATGGTGAAAGATATAAACAATCAGAAACATATAATGGAAAAACACATATTAAATATTATAGAGTATATGGAGTCATACCGTAAGTACATATATACTATTGTGTATTAATGAGTATTAATATTAAAAAATATTTTAATGAAAAAAATTATATTTACTGCAGAAGTATTTGGTATGAACGAAAACAATGAAATGCTTTCATTGCTTCAGTGGTGTAATTATATAACTGATTGTTTACCATTAGAGAAAATAAAACTTGGACAATCTTTATGGCTATTTTTAACTGTATACGGTAAGTTCTGAATAATATATATTTATTTAACAGTTTAAAATTACTAAAAAGTATAATATCTCTAATTAAAATAAATATAAAACATAAAGTAATGTAAACAAAATTTAATAATATTTCATTTTATTGAATTTAAAGATTTCAAGGTGTCTACAGAACATTATAATGCACTTTTAAAGTTATATGTTGATAATGAACATACTTTTTCAACTGCGAAATTAATGACAGATATGTACTCTAAACAAATTTATCCAAATAAACAATCATATGACATGTGTATCAAATATTGCTGTAAGAAAGGAAATATTGACGAAGCTCTAAAGCTTATACAAGATATGAAAATGTATAGAATAAATATTTCAGAATCTGTTTTAAATTCATTAATGATAGGGTATTCTCAATCTGGGTAAATATATGAGTTTTAAATATATGAGTTTTAGGTATGTCATTTAAATATAGAATATTTATCCTTTAAATACAATTTGAGTTCATATATGTTTTAGAGATATATTAAGTATAAATGAAATTAAAAATGTTATGAAACAAAATAAATTAAGTTCGAGGGGTGATACATATGCTGCTGTTTTATATGTTTATGCAGTATTAAATGATATTAATAAAGTGAAAGAAACAATTGAAAATTGTTATTTAAAAAACATATATTTTGACAATCAAATTATTTTAAATACAATTTATATATTTGTAAAAAATAATCACCTTAAAGATATCAGAACTGTAAGGATTTCTAATAATTTTATAATAAAATATCACTAATATATATCACACAATTGAATAATTTAATATTTAATTTTAGGTATACCAGTATTTAATAAAAAAACGTATGATTACAAATTGTGAAGTGCAAATTATATTAAAATTATTAGATATTAATTATTCTATAGCTATAGACATTCTTGTAATAATAAGTTTAGATAATAATCATCCACATTTCAAAAATATTATAACATTAATTTTAAAACATCTGGTTAATAACAGAGTGGTAAAAAAAAATATACATTTTTTACTTTTATATTTCTCATATTTTATTATTTATTTTTGACATATCTAATATTTTAGGCACTTGAAGACATTATTAAATTATTTGTTTGTTTTAAAGACGAAAGTATATTTAGAAAATCCCTTTTAGTATTATTATACTATTCATTATTGAAATGTGATAATTTATCTCTTTCTGTACTCAAAATATGTAAAAATCATTATCTGATAAAGCCACACTACTTTTGGCCACTTCTAGTTAGACAAGCATATAAATATAATCTACAAGGTATGCATTTTTTACATAAATATATAAAAATTTATTAATAATGATTATTTTATTAATAGTAATTATTTCTTTATATGTAATATTTTTAGGCATTTTAGATATTCTTCAAATTATGATAAATGACTTTAACATAAAACCTTGTGTGGATACAATTACTGATTATATTTTACCATTTATTTTTGGAGATATACATAATATAAGAAATGTGTTAATAAAACATAGAGTAAATGCAACAGTGGTAAATAATGCTTATGTGTTATTCATGCTAAGAAGATATAAAATAAAAACTGCTGCGAAATACAGTAAGAGCAAAATTTTGAATTAATATATATTAATTATTTATATCATTATCATTTATATCATTATATTTATATCATTATCATTTATTATCTTTTTACAGTGAAATATTTTCAAGATAAATATTTTTATAAAATAATCAGTGTTGATCTCAGATATGTTTTGGTTTCTACAACTGATGTAATGAATTTTATATTTATTAGTTCTAATTTAGTAGAAGATACTAATTCATATAAATCATGTATGATGACCGATCAATGGTGCAATATAAAATTAGTGCCAATGGATCGGCAGTTTTATGATTGTATACTTGATTTCCCATTTACAGAAACATGGTTCAAAAGGGTAAGAAGTTAAAATTCTTAGATTATGAATTTCATATTAATTACTATGTCATAATTATTTTTTTAAGTTATTTCTAATAAGTTAAACTAAAAGTTATTAAAAACATATAAGTTGTTAAAAAGATTAGTAATTGTATATTTAAAATAGCAAATAATATTACTTTTAATAAAAAAATAATAATAAATAGTTAACATATTTTTATTACTTTTCCAGTTAATAGGAAAATATAAAATTGAGAATATTGTTTAAAGTTTTTGAAATTGATAAATATAATTGATAAACAAATTATTAAATGAACATAAAAGAAGAATCAAAGTTGAATACATTAAAATTGTATAAAATTATTTAACAACAACTTTGTGTGTAATAAACTTCAAATTTAATATATAATCCGATTTTACTTCATATTTTTACTTTAATATTTATTTTAGTCAAGCATCTAGCAAAGGAATCAGTTAAAATAATAATTTAAATAAAGATAAGTATTCTATGCAAATTGATTGTTTATTATATTTTTTCTTTTTTGAGTATATAAATTTTTTTGAATTTTTTTTTGAATAGTAGGTATAAAAAATAAAATTAATCCACTAATAATCATCATTCCACCAGCAGTAAAAAATCCAGGATCATAAGTTTGAAGTACATCGTATAGCCATCCTAAAAATATGAATTATACGAAAATATAAAAATGATCAAATTATTGAAAATTATAGCTGTTGCTAAATTGTATATGCACCTGCAATGGGTGGTCCCAAAAGTGATGCAAACCCTTGAAAGAGTAAAAGTTGACCAAAGGCATTAGTGAGTCGATTTAAACCCAATAAATCTACTAAAATTACAGATGTAAGACCGACATATGCACCAGATGTAAATCCAAATATAGAAGAATAGAATGTAAATGATGCAAAAGACGTACAGAATGTACTAAGAGTTGTAGCTAGAAAAATAATATAAAAAGTATTCAACATGATATATGCTTTTCAATTAAATAATACTAATTTATTTACACTATTTTGTTAGAAGGCTTAACTAAATTTGAAATGTAGTAACAATAATACTTACAAATACCACATATTGTAAGACATAAATTATATATTAATAATCGGTTAACCCATGGTTTATCTGATACATATCCCAAGATTATACGACCAACCGTATTAGCAATTCCAATTATTGCAAGGAGATAGCTTGCATCTTTTTTATTAATTCCTCGTTCTTCAGCTTGAGGCTTAATATTAATTATTTAAAAATGATAGCTTTTATAATATATTTTTCATAAAAATGTAGTAAATAAAAACTATTTGTAAATATCATCAAATTATTTATATTTAAAGAATTTTTAGTATTAAATGATTAAAAATTTTTTAATGAAACTTTGTATACATACCAGTACATAGACATATGGTATGTAAAATCCAATACTAGTGCAGAAGTTAGAAAAAGTAAATAATATAAATACTGGATCTTTTAACACAGAAATATCTACATCTTTTTGAAAGCTATCCACCTTTCTCTCAATATAGGCTTTAGATTCTCTATTATCTTTTTTTATATATTCTGTTTTATCAGCTAAACTACTAGAAGATTCCAGAATATGAAACATTTCTTCATTATAGCCTTGTATTAACTTAGGGCTGCAAATAAATAATAGATCTCAATAATTATTATTATGTAAAGAAATTAAGAAGTTATATATTTTATATAGTGAAAAAAATGTCTATTAATCAAGTTAATACCTTTGTATTTTTATAGGTTTTAATATTTACAATATTTTTTATACAAATGTAAAAAAAAAAGTGAATATTAACTTTGGATAAACAGATTTTAAAATATACTAACTGCTCTTTCTGGATATTCTCTAAACTGTTTTGTCGCGTTGCATTATTTGAAATTAAAACAGGTTGACTTAGAAATCTTATACCAGTACTGTTATTTTCTTTTCGATAACTCACACTGTGTGCTATTTTACTTTCTTTTCGACTACATAAATTATTTGAATATCCTTTAGGATCTTTTTTTATGTCCTGTGAAGGTTTCTGAAAATTAAAACTAAATCTAAGGTGGTATTGTGCTGTTAGTTTTAACATATTAAAGAGATGTATATCTTTGACTTTTAGCACATTCATTTTTAGTATGTATATACTTTTCAAAATACGCTTACATTCGTTTTTACTCTTTATAATTCAATTTCATGATGCTATTCACTGTTATTAAGTTTCTTATAAAAATACATACAAGAATTCTGTACCTCTGTAGAACTTGTCTTTTTTGGTTTATTCATCTCAAGGGGCCTAAAAAGTGCTCCAAAAACTGTGCAGTTTAAAACAATTCCAGAGCAAATCAAAATCGCTCCTCGCCATCCATATATTGCTATAAGGTAATCTAAACAAGGGGCGAAAATTAACGTGCCTAGACCAGAACCGCATACTGCGATTCCTGTTGCAAGAGATCGATATTTTTCAAAGTAGCATGTCACACTAACGATCGCAGGTAAATAGATCAAGCCAAAACCTAAACCTACAATAGTAATAATTGTTTTCAAACTTATATCAGAGATAATATATCGTGTTCTATTGAAATATATCTAGAATATATTTTAAAAAAATGAAAATCGTGATTAATTTGTTATTCGGCATGTTATTACTGCAGTAGCTGGGGGACGATAGATGGGGCGGTAGTTCTTTGGGTGCAGCACTTTTTACATGAGACAATTTTATTTTTTATTAATTCTTTTATTTATGTTAACTTAATAATTTTTATTATTCAATTTTAAATATTTGTTTGAATGACACCCGCAACCGATCGACTTGTAATTTGGCTGAAAGGAATAAAGGAAGAAGAACAGAAATTAAAAATTTTAGCTTCGAGTAATTAATAATTTTCGAGATATTAATAAAAACATTTTCGTCCTTATATTCTGCTTATACATCCTTTGCCATAAGTATGGTAGTCAACTATCAGGTAACCGACAGAATTTTTTTCATCAAAACTGAAAATCTCCGTATTTATAGAGCTCTTCATGTAAAATAGACCTTTCTTCAGTGATAGAAAGTACTGGTAATAATGATTTAGTAATCAAATAATATGCTCAACCCATCTCATAATTAATTTGTTTTTTGTGTTTATATATCTAAATAAATAAGAAAAATATCTCGAAAACTTTTTATTAATATCTTGAAAACTATTAAGATACCCAAAACTAAAATTTTATATTTAGGGGTTAGTCTTTTTCCCTTCCAAATTTCTCATCGATCGGCAATAGATGTCATTCACAAGTACAACCTTAATTTTTAACAACTATATTTATAACCGCCATCGACTACTAACGATGCAATAATCATCGCGAATTTGCATTTTAATATGTTCAATATTTACAATATTTTTATTCTACTGCAAGGAGTTGTATACTAAAGGACCGCACCGGACGGCAAAGGCTCTAATTACACCACAGAAATTTTGTTTTATGATTTAAAAAATATTACAAAGGTATATGCAGAGTAGTAAAAATCTTTTTCACGTTACCTGTTCCGATGCCGATTGAAAAATACAGTGTTACAATATTTCGGGCCCACATACTAGCCAGTAAGCATGAACTCGCTAATAGCGAGCCAATTATGGTTACAACACGACATCCAAATTTATTTACAAACAGGCTTGATATTGGACCTTCAATAAATCTTTCATTATAGCTTCGAGAAATCGTTATTACGCGAATAATAAGTTTACCTGAGCACAATGTGACACCGACTAATATCGATGCGATCCATGCAGTTGTACCTTTTCCCTCCTCGAAATAATATAAAAATTCTAAGTAAAAAACACCAAACGAATATGTCACACCATCCGCTGCAACGAAACGAAATTATTCTTCAACAAAAATAAAATTTGTAATATACAATAATATAATATAATATAAATCTGCATTTATTTTGTAATTTTATCCTCTAAAAAAGGTAAATGAATAGTATTTTCTAGTTTCTACTCACAATCGATAAGTAAAGGTAAAACTTGATCAATAAGTAAAGGAATTAATAACAAAAAAAAGTGTATGAAATGGGAATTCCATTTAATATAATAATTAATCAAAAGAAATCATAACATATTTTACTTTTATTTATGCTATTATTAACTATCTAACAACATCATTACTTGTTCTTTTTATGAAATTATGCTTTTTTATATTTAATTGTTATTTTCATTGCAAGTTATAATAAACATAAATTGTTACTGTGATATTTTTAAATGAGCATGGCATTTAATATTGACATTAAACATTAGACAAATTAGACAAATAAACAATAAACATAAGTACAATAATAATGTTTAAATATACTCCTTTTACATACAATATTAAATATTTTTTAATCTGTTTAAGTTACAGTATTAAAAAATATTTGAAATTAAATACATATGTATTAATATATGTTGTAAAGGCATATCGCAATCACGAGTTAAATAATATTTTACTCTTTGTGTATTTTCTAACAGAAGAATATCTAATTACACCTTAAAGTGAGTCAACAATACAACTCCTAGTCAGTACTATATAACAAATATACTTTCTGTATCATTTTCTGATTTTACGTATCATGAGACCGCTGTTACGCGTAATCAAAGTTCCTCTGTATGCGTATATTTTCATAAATATGGTAGACAATGAACAAAGTGCAATTACTGAACAATAATATTGTTCGATTGTGCATATTGTCTTTAGCGAAAACGAAATGGTTTTCATTATAATGCACATTCACAATTTTATTTTTCGAATGGAAATAATTTAAATAAAGGTCTCCTCATTTGTAATGGTAACACAATTACCATAACTTTTTCATCATAAGCATAATCATAATCTTTACATTTCGATAGATCATTTAATAGAAGACTATGATGAGAATGAAAAAACATATATGATAGAAATATTATTCTTATGTGGACCATAGATAAGAGGTCAAAAAGGGACAGATAGTACGTATCGTTTACATGTTTGTGTAATGCCAAGGTCAGTGCTTCTTTTTAATTTATCTCTTCTATTCTTGGTATGGTTAGAGGCTTTGTATGAGTCTATAACGTACTAATTACTGATTAAAATTCATTCATTATAAATTATATTTGGAATCGATCGTTTCGTGTCATAAATCATAATTATGAAAATACAAATATTTACAGACTTCCCATGCTGTTATTGTTCATACTTGTCAAAAAAGGAAATAATGATCATATTTCATGACTTCGTGAGGAGATTCATATTTTTAAGAAAGTTAAAACCAGGAAGAAATTAGAAATGCACACGTAAGCATATTTATAAGGTCGTTCTTCATTTTTAAACAATCACGTACACTTTAAACACACATTATACATACATTTATATACAATATAACGCATATTTAATATATTGTATTTGTGTTTTAAACAAAAGCAAGAAAGTTTAAAAACTAAGGAACAATCTTGGGTCACTTTGTGTGTCTCGATTATTTTGTCTAATTAGCGTAGCACGCTGATTAAATACGCTAAATGGTTTTTTCGTAAATTTTATTGAATATATTCAACAAAACTATATGTTAATAAGAATAGAATTTTTGAAGTAATTTTTAAGAGATTAAAAAAACCTCCTTTATTAATGTTTTAATCACAAATTAACTTAAAGTGGAAATAATAAGCGCGAAAATTTTTAGATTACAAAGCCTCTTTTTCGTTTCATTTTATCGTAGCATATTTTATTTGTTTCAAATTAATAAAGATATCATTTATACGATTAATCTGTCCAAAACGTGATCATAATGGTAACAACATAACAATAAAGATAAAGTCATTCGAAAAAGAGAAATAAGTATGTAAAAAGACATTTGACTGACATATTATAAGTAGCGGTATAATAATTAAGTTATTAAATTAAAGTAGAACTGTAAGTTGAAAAGTTCTTTCACGTATAATATATAGAAATTTATAAGTTTTTTAAAGTGTTTATATTAAACTAACAAAAATTTAAAGATATATAAATATAAGAGAAACGTAAATATTAACCCTTTACGTGTAATATACAATAATATAATATAATATAAATCTGCATTTATTTTGTAATTTTATCCTCTAAAAAAGGTAAATGAATAGTATTTTCTAGTTTCTACTCACAATCGATAAGTAAAGGTAAAACTTGATCAATAAGTAAAGGAATTAATAACAAAAAAAAGTGTATGAAATGGGAATTCCATTTAATATAATAATTAATCAAAAGAAATCATAACATATTTTACTTTTATTTATGCTATTATTAACTATCTAACAACATCATTACTTGTTCTTTTTATGAAATTATGCTTTTTTATATTTAATTGTTATTTTCATTGCAAGTTATAATAAACATAAATTGTTACTGTGATATTTTTAAATGAGCATGGCATTTAATATTGACATTAAACATTAGACAAATTAGACAAATAAACAATAAACATAAGTACAATAATAATGTTTAAATATACTCCTTTTACATACAATATTAAATATTTTTTAATCTGTTTAAGTTACAGTATTAAAAAATATTTGAAATTAAATACATATGTATTAATATATGTTGTAAAGGCATATCGCAATCACGAGTTAAATAATATTTTACTCTTTGTGTATTTTCTAACAGAAGAATATCTAATTACACCTTAAAGTGAGTCAACAATACAACTCCTAGTCAGTACTATATAACAAATATACTTTCTGTATCATTTTCTGATTTTACGTATCATGAGACCGCTGTTACGCGTAATCAAAGTTCCTCTGTATGCGTATATTTTCATAAATATGGTAGACAATGAACAAAGTGCAATTACTGAACAATAATATTGTTCGATTGTGCATATTGTCTTTAGCGAAAACGAAATGGTTTTCATTATAATGCACATTCACAATTTTATTTTTCGAATGGAAATAATTTAAATAAAGGTCTCCTCATTTGTAATGGTAACACAATTACCATAACTTTTTCATCATAAGCATAATCATAATCTTTACATTTCGATAGATCATTTAATAGAAGACTATGATGAGAATGAAAAAACATATATGATAGAAATATTATTCTTATGTGGACCATAGATAAGAGGTCAAAAAGGGACAGATAGTACGTATCGTTTACATGTTTGTGTAATGCCAAGGTCAGTGCTTCTTTTTAATTTATCTCTTCTATTCTTGGTATGGTTAGAGGCTTTGTATGAGTCTATAACGTACTAATTACTGATTAAAATTCATTCATTATAAATTATATTTGGAATCGATCGTTTCGTGTCATAAATCATAATTATGAAAATACAAATATTTACAGACTTCCCATGCTGTTATTGTTCATACTTGTCAAAAAAGGAAATAATGATCATATTTCATGACTTCGTGAGGAGATTCATATTTTTAAGAAAGTTAAAACCAGGAAGAAATTAGAAATGCACACGTAAGCATATTTATAAGGTCGTTCTTCATTTTTAAACAATCACGTACACTTTAAACACACATTATACATACATTTATATACAATATAACGCATATTTAATATATTGTATTTGTGTTTTAAACAAAAGCAAGAAAGTTTAAAAACTAAGGAACAATCTTGGGTCACTTTGTGTGTCTCGATTATTTTGTCTAATTAGCGTAGCACGCTGATTAAATACGCTAAATGGTTTTTTCGTAAATTTTATTGAATATATTCAACAAAACTATATGTTAATAAGAATAGAATTTTTGAAGTAATTTTTAAGAGATTAAAAAAACCTCCTTTATTAATGTTTTAATCACAAATTAACTTAAAGTGGAAATAATAAGCGCGAAAATTTTTAGATTACAAAGCCTCTTTTTCGTTTCATTTTATCGTAGCATATTTTATTTGTTTCAAATTAATAAAGATATCATTTATACGATTAATCTGTCCAAAACGTGATCATAATGGTAACAACATAACAATAAAGATAAAGTCATTCGAAAAAGAGAAATAAGTATGTAAAAAGACATTTGACTGACATATTATAAGTAGCGGTATAATAATTAAGTTATTAAATTAAAGTAGAACTGTAAGTTGAAAAGTTCTTTCACGTATAATATATAGAAATTTATAAGTTTTTTAAAGTGTTTATATTAAACTAACAAAAATTTAAAGATATATAAATATAAGAGAAACGTAAATATTAACCCTTTACGGTCGACAGATTTCAGCAGAGCAAATTTAGCGTTTCGCAGTTACTTTTCTGTACAGGATTTAAAGTCAGTATATGGATATTAAAACGCACAGAATTTGTTGAAACTGATTTGTGTTTAATACTACTTATAATACATAAATATACAAAATTTTTAGTTTCTCTAATTTTCTGTAGTTTTCTGTATTTTTCGACTTGCGAATGTCCCCGCTGCGGGGACATCAACCGCAAAGGGTTAAAATTAAGAATAAAAATAGAAAGAAAGAATAAGCGATATATTTTTACAACCTGTACATGAAACTTTAAGAAAATATAATGGAACATAAAAAAATCGACTGCTTACCGATTACGTGGATTAAAAAAGATGCTAAAACTACAATGTAGCCCCATCCTCCATCCAGCGGTAAGGGTTGCGTGATAGTTGATGACACTGAGCGATCCATTGATGTACAGTCGATATTTTGATCTGCATTTTTTTTACTCTGTCTATTTGCCTCAACGGAGGAACTGACAGTCATGTGTGCCATGAGCCGCGATCGTTTAACTCAATGAACGTGTTGTAGCATTCTCGCGATACTAACTATCGAAGTTTTAAGTTGCTACCCATATAGTGGAAGGGAACGAAGAAAAGAAGGGGAGATTGAAGCAAATCTTGAGGAACGCATCATTTTTGACAATATAGAAATTTCGGAGTATGAAATGAAAAATTATTCTTATCATGAAGTAATATAATATAGTTGTTTCGTTATTCAAAGAAAATATTAAATATACCAACTTAAAACTTTAAGAGATAATTATATTTTTTAAATAAATGCGCTATCCTCTTCATTGTACTACATATTCTTTTAGCCATGCATTCTTTTCACGATTATATGAAATGTTGAAAAAAACATTTAAAATATTTTAAATAAAATATTTTTTTAATGTAAAGTTTACAAACTACATACAAATACATTTTTATACACACAAAAATATGGGAAAAAAGGACATATCATAATGAATAACTTTAACATAATGAAATTTTTTATTTTATTAACATTCTTTGCTAGTTAAACAATAATATGTAGTATATAAAAAATGACTTGAATTAAAGTAAAATAAAAATAAACAATATGTTCAGCATAAAAATTTATTAATCTTCAGAATTAGTTTGTTTTTGTATGCAAAAGATATCTTCTGTCAACTTTTTAGTATAAAATTAACTAATTGTTCTATCAATATCTTCATGGCTTTCTTTTAGATGATCATTCATTTGTGGACGTAATTCATAAGTACAAATAGTAACACCATGTTGATGCAAAGGTAACCATTCTCCTTTTAAGCCAATGTAATAAATTTTTATTTTATCTGTTCTTCCAATACCAGTAAAGTGTAAGCTTAAATGATACACTGATGAAAATTTAACCACTCTACAATAAAAACTATTTAAAATTTTTACATTATTATGATACTTTAAGCAATGATTGGTTTTATACTTAGGAGAATATTCATGTATTCCATTTGTGTCAACACACAATTCAAACTCTTGTTCAGGTTCTATAGTTACATCATCAAATGTCATGCATGGTCTATTTTTGTACCTATATCAATATAATTTTCTTCTCTCATTAATAAAACATATTTTATATCTTTATAAATTAAACTTCATTTTTAGTTATTAAAACTCACATATACTTACAATTTCACTTTATTTGGATGAAAATTATCTTCGCCTCCAATAATAATAAGTCCCTTTAATTTTATATTTCCTGTAAAACTGAAGAAAAAATAATAGTATTTAATAATTCTTGTTAAAAATATATTCAAATGAAGTAACATACGGAATATTAAACAGAAGTTCATTATCCATATCACTTTCGACATACTGAAAGAAACAGAGTAATAAAAATATAACACTAATACAAACTATGAAATATTTATATTAAATATTTAAATAATGTAAACAAATCAATACTTTATTTCTGTCTAATCTATTTTCCCACGATTTAAATACAGTAGCTCCACTACCTTCTTCACATTCATTTAAACATTCTGTATTTTCAATATCAATTTTTTTGTATAGATTATACTGTATACCCAATTCTGCATTATTATGTATACCTCCACAACTACACTGATGAGCCATTGTAGGAAAACTTATATAAAAACTGTATATAATGCAATAATATTATCAAGTATCAATAAATGTGTCTCTGTTAACATAAAATTTATGAAAGAGGTTATTATTATCTAAAAATATTTGATCTCTAGTGAAAAAAATTAAAATACTAAAACCTATTTGTACATTATTAGCATATAAAAAAATGAATAATTATACATATATTTGTATTTCTCATAATTAACATGAGTAAAATAGATAAAATAGTTATAAAGACAGAAAATTAAAATACAAGCATTAATATTATAATTAAAAAAAAAAAAGAAATAAATGTATCACTAAACTAACTTAATTTTCAAAGGGATAGAATGTTTAAAGTACTGGAAATGACACTCGAAATTATACACATATTTTAATATTTATGTACATATGTAAATCTGTTGTATATACATATTACTGTTTATTAGAAATTTTAAATTAAATAATGAATAAGAATAATTACTAGTATATATAATTAAAATTATTAATTATAAGATATATTCTTAAATAAATGAATTATAAATTCACATCAGTTTTCAATTTATATGATAAAACATACATAAAAAAGCATTATATGTTTGTACTATAATTTTAGTTTAAAATCAATTTTACTATAAAAATTTTAGATTAAAAGTTTTATATCATATTTATTAAATTTATTTTTAATACATTTGAACTTTTTTTACATACTTTGAAGATATTGTTTCCGTTAGAGAATAAATACAATTAATTAATAATATACTTTATTTTTATAATGTTCCTATTTTATAATTATAATTCAAATATTAACAAATTCTTAAAGTTTTTTCTTATTTAATACAATATTTATTGTATTTAAAATTATTTTTTATATTATTTATTGTTATTGGTTGGCAATATGGAATTACGTTTTATTCACAACTTCATTGCGTTAGTACTATTGCTTTCTGTACAGATTAGTACTTCAGTTATATGCCGTAGAATAAATCTGGGGTTATATTTTAAAAATATGTGAAACAAATGATGTGTAAATATTAATATATTGTCATTTACAAGATACATCTATAAAACATAACAAGCAGCTTGTATTTCTTAGGTTTTAAATGTTATACTGCTCCTTTGGGAACCGTGATTCTATTCGTGAATGCCTAATTGATTAATGGTGATTCCATAGCAAATGAATATTTGCATGCTGCAGTTATGTGCTTCCATTGTGAAAACATAATTGTTTTATGGTGATAATATGTCAAAATCAAACATAAGGAAGATAACGGTTGACCCTACGAAATGTAATACAGACTCTCGTCGACCAAGTGTGTTTGAGAGATTGGGGACCAAACCAGCAGTTACTGCCGGCCAAAATTCGTCGGATTATTGTAGAAACTGGGCACTAAATGGTAGCTGTTCGTACGGAAAGAATTGCAAGCAAGTATAATTTTGAAATTGACTTACTTTGCAAAAAAGGTTAAATATGCATTTGTCCTTTCTACTAAAGAACAGTGAAATTATATATCAAATTTATTATTTAAATAATAGAGTAAGAATTAACATTCATTCTATTTAAGATGACCAACATTTTCTTTTCTTGATATTGCAATTAGATATGCAAATACTCACACATTAATAAGTCCATCCAAGCGTGCCAAAAAGGATAATGCTATTGCAAGTACAGCAGGAGTAAGTATATAATTTGTATTATTATACTTTCATTGCAGAACATTTTATTAGGAAAATATCAGAAAAATTAAAGTTGTGCTACTATTTTATTTGAAAATAGATAATTATATATATATATCTTTATTAATATATAGCTCACTGAGGATTCATTTAAAAGGCTTACTTCTAAAATTGTAAAAAAGGCATCGCACAGTCCAGATTTAAATTTGGAAGAGTGGAATCAAACAGATTTGGAATACGAGGACGAAAAAGTGTTAGAAAGACGTAGACAGCTATTACAACGTGAATTAGAATTACAAATGAAGAAGGATAAAGAAGTTCATGGGAAAGACAAAGTGAGACAGAAGAAAAAGGCTATGACTTCATCCTCTAGTTCTCATACTTCAAGTACATCTAGTAGTAGTAGTAGTTCTAGTAGTGAAGATTCATCTTCTAGTTCAACATCTGATTCACGTAAGAAAGTTAAAAAGATTAAATCTAAACGACATCATAGTGGATCCACTGATTATGACGAAGATAAAGAAAGAAGAAGGAAGTAAGTTGTAATATATGTTAATATTAAATATTTTTTTATTCAATATGTAATAAATAATTACATTTTTAATATTATCTTAAATAATATAGTATACCAAGAACTTTTTTTTATAAATTGCTAATCAATCTTGTTACAAATATAATTATGCATGTAATATAAGTACTATAATACTATAACTTCATAATTCATATATAAATATTTTTGTTCTTACTATTACTATTACTATTTCTTAAGTAATAAATCTTTTAGCATTTGTTTTAATTTAATAATCTTAACAGATTGAAATTGAAAAGACTTGGAACTAAAAATGAAAAATCATCAATTAAAAAAAAACGTAAGTTTGAAAGTAGTTCAACTAAAAAAGAAATTAATGCTAGATCAGTGAAGAAATACAGTTCATCTTCAACATCAAAGAAACATTCTTCTACGCCACGAATAAGATCACCAGCAATACAAGTATCTACAACAGTAACATCAACAACATCCGCAGTATTAGGATCTTCTGTATCCGTGCCTCATCATGGAACATCTAATAAAGTTCGGGAGAGAAATAGAAGCGAATCTCCAAAAGCAAAGAGCAGGGATATAGATAAAGAAGATAGGCATTACAAGAAAGTACGAGATGCAGATGAATTATCTAAAGATAGCACTAAAAGTAAACCTTTTGATAAAGTTAAAGAACAGGATAAAGATAAAGGTCGTACAATAGATGAGAAAATAAAAACAAGCGAAAGATTAAAAGCAAAATGTAAGGATAAAGATATTCGTTCTAGGACACCTCCATCATCTGAAAGATCAAAACATCAACATTCAAAGGAAACAATTTCAACGAAAACTCGTCGTAGCCGTACACCTGAAAAATCATCAAGATCTAAACGAGAGCTTTCGCCATCGAAGGCGCAAGATAGACAACTTTCTACTAACAGATCACGGGATGTGGAAAAGAAAGATCGTGAGTCACATAAAAGTGATAAAACTAAAGACAGAGAAGATATAAGAAAAACTGAACAAAATAGTAAACCAAGACAAGTATCGAATCAAGAAGAAAGTCATAGAAGAATTGGTAAAGAGTTTGATGATAAAACTTATTTAGGCGATAAAACTCGACAAAAGAGCAGAGAGCGGCGTGATAAAGAGCATACGAGGGATGAACGTGGACATTCAAGGCTCGCTCGAGATCAGCGAGACACTCGTGATAAGGATAAAGAAGACATACAAGAACGTTGTCGTGAACGACCACGGGAAAGAGATCGTGATCGCGATAGAGATCGGGAACGTGATCGTGAACGGGATAGAGATAGAGATCGAGATCGCGATCGTGATAGAGATCGGGATCGTGACCGAGACCGTGATCGCGATCGTGATCGAGATCGTGACCGCGAAAGAGAAAAAGAATCAATAAAAGCAAGAGATAGAGATGTTCCATCTTTAGTTTCAACATCGATAAGTTTAACAACAGATAAAAATTCGCGTTATAGTCGGGATAAAGAACGAATTGTGGTAAAGGATAATACCTTTGAAAAAAATGGAACTCGAGAACGTAGAAGTGATAGAGAAAGAGAAAGGTCTGAAACTAAAGTCCTTTCCGATAGGGACAGAACGTCTCAACGTATTGATAGTAGATATGATAGAAATACTGTAGATAAAGATGCATCAATTCGTAAAACTGGTGTAAATTCACCTAGGGATCGAGTTGATCGTTTTCCACGAGAAAGATCTTTGGACAGAACATCCTTGCTTGATAAAAGTGTACACAATGCTTCATCATTAACGCAAGCAGCTTCTTTACCAGTCGTTCAGTCTTCTATAGCATCTTCGTCGTCCTCGTCCGCACCTCCTACATTATCAAGTTCGCGAGATAATTTAATTGATAGAATAGATATCGGACATTATGATCGCGAAAGACACAGACGATTCAGTACAAGATATGATAGAAATCATACATCTGAACATGATCAGTCACGTGTTACCCCAACCAAAGTTGATCGTTTAATTGAAAGACGAGAAACTAGTCCACGTCGAACCATCGAAATCGACCGAAATTATAATAGAAATTATGGACGTTTATCAGAACATTGGGATGAGCAGGAGGAAACATCTTCGCATTTAGATTATCGTGATCACCATGTTCACGAAGACGACAGGAGAAAAACCATTGATGGGAGGAGATATGATAGCCCATTTGATGAAAGACGTGGAATTCGTGAAGAAAGATCTCGAGAATCTAGATATGTCGTTCAAACTACTGATAGAACTTCTTTTGATGATCATCGACATCATCATCATCATCATAGACATCCACTTTATCCTGGAGAAAAATTAAGAAGTAATACTTCTATTCGGTATGTTAATAGAAATATGTAATGTATTTATCATGATCAATAATGTATGTTTTTTAAATTTTTATTTACCTTTTATTAGTGATGAAAATGTTCCTAACGATGACTGGGATAATCATCATCGTGATGTAGAACATGGTAGAGAACGTGCTTATGGTCCTGTTGATTGGGAAGAAAGAGAATGGAGAGTGAGAGCATTATGGGATAGTAGAGACAGTCTTCCTCGATCAGAAGTTCATGACGATGACTGGAATTCTCGGTATGATAATTCTGTATCAGATTGGAAATCAAGTGATTCTCGAAAATGGGAAAATCAATCAGTACATATTCGCAGCCACTACAGAAACGAACGATCTAAAGAATTAGAAATATCAGAATCCACATCACATAAGTATGTAACAAGTTAGTTTTGTTAAATCAATAATCTTTATAATAAAAATTTTTTTTTTAGTAAAAGGAGAACTTATAACAGTTCTGAAACTAGAGATGAATGTTCAGTTCTTAGTTCCAAACAAGCATCTTTATATGGTAGCATGAAAGAAGAACCTATTAATAAAAAGTTAATGGAACTCGCAGAAGGCAAACTATCTACAACTCGAGAAAAATCTACAGATGTTTTTCAAAAGAAGGCTGTATTAAAGGAAAAATCTGAAACAAAAGAAACTATTACCTCTGAATCAAAACGTACTTGCATTGATGAATCCTTGCAAACTCTCCATACTGAAAGCGATTTGAGTGACATTAGTGATGATCCAGATGACATTTTAAACATGGAAGATATAACTGTATGATCAACTTATTTGTTTATAAATGACCTTACTATATGAACCCAGTTTATTGTTAATATCAATATTTATAGGATATGGACGCAAGCAAAACACGAATAACTAAGAAAACTCCTGATACTATACAGCGAGATGGTCAGCCAATAACTCAAGAGGTAGATCTCTCGTCCCCAAAAGAAATTATAGAGGAAACTGTTTTTAATACCAAAGGAAAAGATAATACTGACACAATGTCATTTAGGTTGTACTTTTATGTGTATATATGTATATCTATATGTATATAACTATATAACTGTGCTAATAATTCAAATTGCATATAGAAATATGGAAGATGAAAATATAGAAACTATGGACTTTGAAGAAATTTCTGATGGCGAATTAGAAGAAGACATTAAAACGAGTGGTAAAGGTTTGGGTGATGCTTTAGGAGTTGATTGGGAAAGTCTTGTTAAGGAAACACAACCTCATAAATCTATATCATGTAATCAGAATTCAGAAAATCGCTGGCAATGCAAAGCAATTCTGCATAGAATTGGTGTTTCTGCAAAATATGCGGGTGAAGATTTAATGAAAAAATTAACAAAAAAATATGGAAAAGATGGTTTGTTTTTTAATGAATATTTATTTAATGTAAATTATTTTAATTACATTTACTTAACTAAATAATTAATAAATATTATTTATTTTTAGATCAATCAGAATTGTTTCTTCATAATGTTGCATTTATGCATACAGCACTTGCACGAAATCGTTTACTATGTGACTTAAATAATGATATGTTACCTACAGTGGATGATTTTCTGTACAGGTGAATATTGTTACATAGTTTTTTTTAACAAGCTGAGATAGTATAATGATTCATGATATAATGTTACAGGAATAATAATGTAAATATTGATGATGATGTGGATTATGATTTAGAAATATTAAGACCTTGTACAGCTTTATATGAAGAGGCAAAATGTTTATTACAACAGACTGTATAAAACAATGTTTTTATTTATGGGACATGACTCCCAGTATTGCACTTTACTACTAAATTATATATAATACAGCATAGAGTACAAGTACATCACTTTGTTACTTGCTAGTCTGGTTCAGCTATTTAGCTATTTCCTGCTGCCAACTTAGCCATTTGCGGTGCAATGTAAAAAGAAATTAAATTGATACGTTTTTCTTAATATCTAATTCTTTAATTTTCCATAACTAAATGTTTTTTTTGTATATTATTCAATCTTTATCTACTCTTTATTGAAATTATAATCAGCAAAATAGAATATTGCAATGAATGCCATATTTGGAAAATATAACAATTTTTTAAACAATATAATATGAAGTTTTTTGTCAAAACGATTATAAACGATTCTTCTATTCTTCTAGGACTTTTATTGTATAAATATATTTAAATTTTATGTTGATTATTAGTAATGTTCTGTTCATACAATTTTTATACAGTAATTAGCTGCTCAAAATATTTTTGATCATGTTTGAATGTAGTAACTGTAACAATATCATTTTGCAGTATAACCATTGCTTTTTTTAATAGGTTTTGATTTTCATCAACCTAAAAAGGCATTTGATGTAAAGATAATACATATCACGAAAATATCAATAAATAAGTAAGACAAACACTATAAAAAGATCTGGATGTACCATTTCAATATTTACTTGTTGTTTAAGTCGCTTCATCTTCTCAAGATTTGTGCAATATAATTCATATAAAATAAGACCTGAAATATTAAAATAAAATTTTTAATATTTTATATACTATATGCAAAATGACAATATCAATGTAGTAAATGTTTGTCGTTATTTTGTATAAATTCACCTCTTTTTTTACAATCACCACAATTTAAAACATCCAACATAGAAAGTAAATCGTTACAGTAATTTGCCTTCATATCCAGTTCATTATCACTTAGATCTAACATAATATTTGAAAAAGTATTATACAATGTATGAATTAATGAAATTCGAATAAAATACATTTGTATACTACCCACACCTTTCCATTCGAGGCCATCACTTCTACCGAAATACGAAATAATTCGAAACTTCACGTCTATAATAAGATAATTGCACCAAGGAACTAAAACTGAAAGTTCTTTTTGCATAAATCGTAAAATTTGACGTGATGTTTTGTATAGAATTTCCTCAACGACAGCTGCTATACCTGAACGAATCGAACGTAACTAGTAAAAAAAGAAAAAGCAGAGTAAATGTAATTGAAAGTTATTGACGCCAAACATGATTATTTATTAATAAAATTAAAAAAATTAAATTATTTACATAATCGATGAAACTAAACGAAAAAATTACAAATATAAAACTTATAAAAACACAAATACTAGAAGAAATTAATAAAAAGTCTGGAATAAATTAATTATGAAACATGAAATATACATGTTTGAAATGTACTTAGTATTTTACAATAGAATTTTGATTAAATACCTGTCGATGATTTATGGTTGTGGTACATGTATCACAGATCCAAGAAGTTTCCATATTAAGAGGATTTCGAGGTAATAAATGTCCAAAACATTTTTCAGATGCACAAAAAAGTGCACCTAACTGAGAACTAAATTCCTAGTATCATAATATTATTTAACTGCTAATATCATTGAAGGATGCCTCCTTATATTTCAATCATTAACATCGTTATACATTTATAGTTTATCATTATATATGGACATACCGTAGGATCACTACATCTTTTACATATGCAAGCAAAATGTTTGGTCATGCTTAAAAATTGTCGTCGTAGTGTTGTATCCCAAAATAATGAAGTGTAACTCATGGTGATCTCTTCTCCAGCAGAAATTGGAAGTGCAGCACTAACATATAGTCGATAATCCCCATCAAAATGATGCCTTGTATTCGGTATGCAACAGTGGTTTTGCAATGATCCCATAGGATAAAGTCCTCGTAAACTTACAAAATGGTCTTTGTCGTGAACACATACAGTTTCAAATGAATTCGTATTAAAAACTTCACATACACGTTTCATCAGTTCCATATCTTTCTTGCTCGGAGAGTTTGCCACATTTTTTTTAAGTAATCCAACCTTTTCTCAAAAATTACTTTTATAATAACAGAAAATAAAAATGTGAAGCGTTATAAATATTTTACGTTACTTTTAATACTAAACAATCATTAAATTTGTAGTCACGTTATTATTAATAATTGCTATCGTGTTAGTCGTAATATATTAATAAATACAGATGTTTTTATATCTTCGATATCTAAAAAGGAAATATAACGTCCTACTATTTGTTTCGTAGTAATCTTGATTAAGTTTGATATTCGTTATTATGAAAGTACTAATAATAACATTTAGTAAATTGAAATTTGTTTTTTAATTCCTTGACTTAAATGTTAAAACATACGTTCAATATGTCAAATCTTTACGAATAAATTTACAAGAAAGAGAGAATTTTCTTCGACATTTTTATAACTTCATAATACGTGTAATAAGTTGTACCTCATGATCGACATTCAGAGTTTCATCGTATTGAAGTGCGGCCAAACATTTACGCTGTTGTTCCGTCATGAACAGCGCACGAATCGGTATCACAGCTACCAATAAGTCCAAGGACCAATCGGTACCACAAGTCGGCACTAATGACCTTAGATATTCACACTCGTAATTCACGTGCTTCGGTGAATTTTCACATTGATTTGAACAAACTGGCAGACCGCAACCTCTGTCACACGGAAATAATGGGCACTCGTTCTTGTAACAACATACACACATTTGTAAATGTTTACCCACGCTTCTTGGCCCAATTATTAGAGGTGCATCAATGAAAATCAATTCATTCTGTTCAATGTTTCGAGTTGCAAACATACCCCGACCACCCAATGATGAGCGACGAATAGTCCATGGTTGTGGTCCTTCCCGAAAAATTTTATTCTCTTTTAAATGAGACACCAATATCTCTTCCATTTTTTCTGGTCCTATGGTATCCTGAATACTCATTCTGATCAATGTCACTTGAATGACCAGCAACAACTGATTTCAGAGAGTTCGCAATTAGGACCTTGTCAGGGTATATATATATATATATATGTTTAAGAAAATGTTTAGATTATGTAATGTGCGCAAATACACATACATACGCTGTCACATATAAGAGCGCGCACGTGTGCAAATTACAATTATTTTCTGAATTAGTTTTCAGAACTAGTTATTATTCAAACAGAATCAACTGTTCTGTGCCAAATTTTATATAGATAAACGTGACATTTCAGGATGACCTTGTTTTTTTTTTAATGGAACTATGTATCCTCATTCAGCTAGATGTATAATATACTTTAGGACAAATTGACTGACCTCTAACGTATTGGTCTTCAAAGGTCATTCAAAGTCATTTATTGGCAAACAAACGTTACTCTGATATCTCAGACGCGGAGTCAGTTAAATAAGATTCATATACATCGTAGGATACATTCACGAAACAAAATAAGTTCTATTTGAAATACTTTTTTCAAGTAAGAAATAAAACGAGAAATAATTGCAAGCGTATATTCAAATAACATACTTTTACACGTAATTATAATTGGTTAATTAAGTTACTGATAAAAGATGCTCATTTGTATAAAAAATTATTATTTCACGCGATTGATAGTGTTATTATTACGCGAAAGACTACTATTAATACGATACTGTTATTTTATGCTTTTCAGTGCGCGCAGGTTCGGACAAAAATAGAGTCGTGATTTTGTAATTGACACTCATATTTCAGTTCTTCTTACTTTATATCATATTTGATCATCGATCAGGATGAAATAAATAAAAATTACAACATAAAATAATAATATCTGTATTTATTACATATTTTATATAAATATTTTATAAAGTAGAAAAAAATTAATCATTTGTTGATAAACTGATTTTATCCAAACTCGTAATTAGATAAATTATTTAGGTTGGCTCAATTAAAACACTATTTATAAAATCGAATAAAAATGATCGATGAAGCGAATTTTCACGCAAGCGTGTGCAATAGATATCACCGTTTGTATAGTCTTAAGCGTTGCCAGGACTACCAGGTGGTCAACTACCTGTAACAATACTATTCAATGTGGAAAGCATATATGTATACATATATATTTTACTTTATTATAGTTGTACCATAAAGAACAGTGTAAACCGATGAAAGTGGAGTATTAATTCGCGATTTATGTTTCTTTAGTTCTATTAATAAATTACGTTGAGATAATGAAAACGTAAAAGATGATGTACAAGTTGCATAAATTTACAAAACATTAATTATTAATTGAATATTAATCAAAATAATTATATAAATATATTGTATTCGAAATAGAAATTCTCTATGTGTTTTTGATAAAGTGAAATTAAAATTGATCCAGCTAACAAATATACTTATTACATCAAATTTTGTAATGTTCTACAGCAAACGTATACGAACTGTTTATGATATATTTATTTAGAATGAGTTGCATAAGAATGGTTATTGAAAAATTTATGAAAAACAAGACTCTCATTTTAACAACATTTTTCCTTTTAACGATCGATATTTCACGAGGATTAAATTGCAGCGGAGATCCCTGCATGTACGGAATTTGTATAGAAGACTCAAACAGGTATATAAATAAATCATTAAACACAATATAGATGCTTTTGTTTCACTTTCTATCCAATTTTAAAGAGGAAAAATATAACGATTAAATGGCAACTCTATATAAGTAATTAGAATTAATATATTAGTCATTCGTCTCGTGCATATAATACAGCACTTATTCTTGCTACTGTATCGACGGTTACACTGGAATCAATTGTGAAATCAATTGGAATGATTGTTGGTCTAATCCTTGCCTCAATGGAGGAACATGTAACGATGCTGTTGCAGCTTATAATTGCACCTGTACTGAGGGATTTGTAGGTAATTTAAAATTCCTTCATTTGTTTTTTCATAGTATGTACGAAATTAATATATCGATATGTTAACACAGAGGGAGATTAAATTGATCGTGTCGCGATTTGTTTATACAGTTACAGAATTTAAATTAAATCTTCATATACAAATATCGAACTGAATAATGAAATATATTTATTATTTTGCAATACATTACGTGTATTTCTAGGTGTAAATTGTGAGCAAAGATATAGCGAATGTTCGAATCAACCTTGTTTAAACAACGGAACTTGCCTCGATTATGATGGTATCACTTGCCAATGCCCTGATGGATATTCGGGTAGAAAAGCGGAAAAATAATATGCTAAGATTTAATCTATTCTATTTTACAGTTTGTCTCTTTTTAAGGGGATTATTGCGAAATCGATGCTTCAGTTTGTAATGACACGATATGTAAAAACAGAGGTGAATGTGTAGAAGGGCCTGGATTATCTTTCTTCTGTCGTTGTTCCGAAGGTATAACTATTTTTTTTAATAATTTATACAATTTGCATTTTAATCCGAGCACTTAGATAAATTGGAAAATAATTATTTTTATTATAAAGGTTGGACAGGTCGATTGTGTGATGAAGATGTTGATGAATGTATTATTATTCCTGCTTCGTACACTTGTGCGTGTTTATTTGGTAAGTTACAATTCTTTATCTCTATTAATAATTTCGAAATTAAATTTGTAGAGCGTAAAGTAATCTTTATTGCATTCTTCTCATGCTCTAGAACTGATAAGGAAACAATAGTAATGCTAAGTATTCTTCACTAGGATATACAGGTAAAGATTGTGATAAAACCATTGTACCATGTGAAGAGAATCCTTGCAAAAACGACGCCATATGTTTATTCGAAGACGAACGGCCAATTTGTTATTGCGTACCAGATTATCATGGTGCCTTATGCGAGTTAAAATATGACGACTGTGAATCTAAATTTGCGAATTGTCAAAATGGTGGCACCTGTATTGATGGTATCAATAGTTTCACTTGTGCTTGCCCAACATACTACAGCGGACCATTCTGCAATGTCCATGATCTTCCATCAACCACTTCCTCGACTTTAGAAGCAATATTAGAGGCTGATGATAATAAAAAAACCACTGCTTTTACTTTATTTGCATCGAAATCATCGACAGTACCAGAAATTGATACCTCATCATCATCAATAACTGCTTCTACATTACAATCTTCGGTTTCTTTCAGTCCTTCGTACACAAAATGGTATCCTTTCATTGAAACGACGTCCTCGACTGCAAATAAAGACGATGTCAACTATTTTAGTAGTATCAGTAGTAGTACCAGTACTAGCAGTAGCATTATTGGAAGTAGCGCAACAGGAAGTATTCAGTTTGTTACTGATATTTCGCCTCCGTATTCTATCACGAGTAAAGAGATGTCTCAAACTGAAACAATTTTAGAGCCTCGTACATTTCCTAGTGTCTCAAGTGAAGCCTATTCTGTGACTTCAACAATAAGAACCGAAGCAGAATATTTAACTCAAAAATCGATTTATAATGAAACGATGACTGACATCATTCATCAAGAGAATAATGCTAGAACGTTTGCACCCATTAATAATACGTCCTCTTCTGAAGCGGATAACACGGTGGCATATACATCAAGTACAGGGTAACGATAACTTCTAATTTATATATTCTTGTATAAATCAGGCAAAACATTAAAATAACTGTTTGTCAATTTATTGTTAATTAGGTATTATTCAGTTGTAACTACAGCTGTCGAAAGAACGACAGATGAATCTACGACGACAGAAAGTGAAAAAAATAGTAGTCTATTCTCCACCATTACATCCTCTTCGAATTTTACAGACTTTTGGCAAAATAAAAGCACACATTCTACTATACCAACAATAGGAGTGCCAAATACTACACCTAATTCATTCTCAGATAAATGGACATTTACAGAATTATCAAAATCTTCAAGTACAGAAATAAAAAGTTCTACATTTACTTTTGCTAATATTTCTTCACCTGCAACAACTAGTAGATCTGTAAAGCCAATATTTGATGAAAGTACTATCAACAGCGAACGTGAAGAATTTCTAACAAAAGATGAATTACCAACAACTTTAAAAAGTCCCATTATTCCTGAATGCCATGGAATTTTGTGTACAAATTCCACAATATTACCTACACGCAATGATAGTGATGCAAGTATTAAATGTCTTCATTTTTATCTTAATTTTGTATTGATGATGGATATTAATATTATATACTTAATATTATATTGATAATGGAAATATTGATTTTTCGCAAATTATTTTTAGTGTAATTGTTCGCATCATGAAAATTGTAAAACTGGTCCAAGTATAATACGAGCGGCCTTTAATGGAAAATCTTACGCAAGACAACATGTTGATGTAAACATGTCTAACGATAATAATGCAACATTACAAATTTTCGTCAGACTTAGAACACGTTTTAAGGATGGTATTATATTACACGTTTATTTCGACGATGAAAAATATGCATTAGTATATTTAGAATATGGTTCTTTAAAGTTTCAATTCTCCTGTGGACTTGAAACTATGTTACTAGGTGAAATAGATTCGTCTATTGATAATGGATATGAAACAGACATTGATACAAGGTAAAATGATATAATATAATCATAACAATATATTATTTACTGTATTTGTTCATTTTATTCGCTTATTTTATATATGTAGGTTTCAATACTTTATGAAAAATGAAACCAATAAATGTTCTGCCCGTTTATTAGTAAATGAGACAACTGCAGTTAGTGGAGAACAAATTTTACCATTACATGGAAGTCTTCCTCGACATGCTAATTTACATTTAGGTGGAATACCATTAGTATTTTCTCACTACTTTGCACATGTTTCTATGGGATTTACTGGTTGCATGAACTCATTGAAGGTTTATTTTTCTCCTATTACATATTTTAAAATATTCGAAAATTAAAAATTATATTTCATTTTGTTAACTCAGATAAATGATATACCACGCCATTTCATCCATGATTCAATAGAAACATTTCAAATTGAAGATTGCATATCATTTCTGTGCTTATCAAATCCATGTCAAAATTTCGGAGCATGTGAAGAAATAAATGGCGCAGTGCGTTGTAGATGCATAGCTGGGTAAAGTAATCTATAATTCATATTCAAAAATTTATTATTAGTAGATACAGTAAAACAAAGTATTATTTAATTGAATAGATATACTGGTCCATTTTGTGAACATTCAACATGTGATGAAAATCCTTGTGCTTTGGGCGCAACTTGTATTAATTCACCAGGTACAGGTTTTATTTGTGTCTGCCCACTTGGAACTCATGGACTCTTATGTGAAGAAGGTAAGGCATGTTGTTATATGTACCTCGAAAATAAAATGCATAATTACTCTTTATTTTAAACTTTTAGATACTATTGTAATGCGACCGTCATTTTCGGTACTTGTACCTGGATTTTCGTCATATGTTGCTTATGGCGTTTCAAATTCTATAAAAGATACAATGGAATTAAAATTGAAACTTATACCACGTACTTATGAACAAATATCCTTAATAGCTTATTTAGGACAAAGCGGATCACGTCGAGATCTATCGGATCATCTTTCCATAACATATGTTCGTGGTTATATTATGCTAACATGGGATTTAGGAGCAGGTAATATATTTCAATATTTTAGATATTTAAAGATCTCTTAGTCTTTTTGAATTTTGCGATAATATTTTCTAGGTGTTCGTAGAATATTTACAAATGTTCCTTTAAGTACTGCAACAATGGCAGCAACAGCAAGTAAAAATTATATAGCATACACAATTCGAATTGGAAGAAGGGGTCGTGATGCATGGCTTGCAGTAGATGGTATAGGCAATGTAACTGGACGAGTGGTTGGATCTATGACACGACTTGATGTATCACCCATACTTTATATTGGTTTGTACTTTACAATTTGATCATTTTATTCAAAAAAATTTATAGTAAAGGAATAATAATTTTTATATAATATAATGTATAATTTTAATAGAAAGAAATAGAATGTTAGGAAGACTATTACTTTTTAGGTGGACATAAATCAAGAAACTTTGAATCATTACCCCATGATTTGCCTCTTCATACTGGATTTTCTGGTTGCATATTTGACATTGAATTACGTACAGAAACAGCTATATATCCAATAACAAATTCCAGTCCTGCAACAGGCCGTGGCATCGGGGAATGTCACAGAAATGAATGCATTCGTCATTTATGTAAAAATGGTGCAGTGTGTTTAAATCATGGAGCTACATATAGGTGAGGTTTTATAAACTACTATAGAAACTTATTAATTTATATTAAATTAATATTAAGTAATAATTTCAGTTGTATTTGTACAAAAGAATGGATGGGATCTGATTGTTCCATACCAGTAGAAGCATTATCCTCTGTTGATTCATCTACTTGCCATACTTCAAACTAATAAAGATATTATTACTGTTTCATTTCATTTCAATATATTATATATGTATAACTTTTATACATAGTTCATTCAATGTGTATTAATTAATATCTTTAATATTGTTTTTTTGGTTGACATGATATATGGTAGGAGTTCAAATGTACAAATAAGATCGCTGCAGCTAAGCGAACTTGTAAATCATGTTTATTATGATTATGAAACCATTCAACTGATCCCCAATGAGAAACCTATAATAAAGTTTAAAACAGCATTCACAAGAGAAATATATGTAGATTATAAACATTTTAGTATAAAGGTTATTATACATACTTGATAATTTTCTTCCAAAAGTGACTGTTTTACTGCTTCTTTTATACTAATCACTCTTTCTGTTGCAGCTAAAGTAAGAATTACAGATTTAATTGCATCTACTCCATACATAAAACCTACAAATAAAACAATATGATATTACATCATCATACATGTACATATTAATAATAAAATTATTTACCATAAACTGCACTATAATTATAAGACATTAATTGTTTTGTTAATACTTCTTTAGTTTCTAGAGATACTATAGGAATTTCTATACTTTGAGTTTTTATCATATTCACTCCATAATTGTCACAAAACCATTGTACTAATGGATCCCAATTTTCAGTCTGTATTTTATATAATTCATCATTTTCCTATAATATAATTTCCCATTTGATAACTGTCCTATATTATTATATAAACATAATTACATATGACATACATTTGAATGAAATAGTATTGTATCCATTTCCAAACAATTTACAATATAATTTACCATATCTTGTTTTGTATGATTGTGAGGATTATCTATTATAGTATTACATAGAGCTGTCTATAACATATATGTTAAATCATGTTTATTAAATTACATTATATTTATATTTAATTTTGATGACAAACTTACCAAATGCATATTACTTCTATCAACAATTTCCTTCTGCATATCCCATTCTGTTGCTACAGCTAAAGCTAAAGGCTTACTATCCACTTGAAATATCTTTCCTTGTGGTGTTTTGAGTTTTCTTTGATCAAGTGTTATTTCAAATTTTCCATCACTGAACAATATATTTGTTTTCCGATAAAATCTTTTAAAGGTAGCTAAAAAGTAATTCATATATATAAAAATTAGTTATGTTTATTATGTTTTATTATTGAATAATAATTTTTAAAAATTTATAACACTGAAATGTAAAATTAGGTTAAGAATTACAAAAAAAATTCTAATTTACAAATATGTCTTTACCCATGCTTCTTATAATATTAAAGATTGTAATAAATTTCTTGTGTCTAATATAATACATTTCTATTAAGTATTTAAATATTGTCATAAATATTATTTCATTTCCTTAACACGTCTAAAAAACAACTGCAAACACAACTACAATATTTGATATTGTTAGTTATTTTGTAATTGAATGTATCATCGTATACATATGAATCGTATACATTTGTCTTCAACTATTATTCTTATTGTTAGTCTCTTCATAAATCTCATACATAATTATTTAAAATCACTTTTAAACATCATTTAATGTGATAATGGAATATGATACAAAAATATACTTAAAAAGGTAATTTAATTTCCATTATATATTTAATAATTATGTATACATAAATGAAAAACTTGAAATATATATATATACAAAAATACAGATATTTTATAAAAATTTAAAATAATTAAAATTTAAGGTAATATAGATTCTTAAAAATATTTCCCCATTAAATACCGCCCTCTATAGAATTATGAAATATTGTTACTACGGGAGAAACTTGGAGTGTGTAGATTATGTGGGTGGATCCGGTGAATCCTTTACGTGTTTCAAAAGTATAGATGAATGCTACAGCAATAAAGTTTGGAAAAGTTATTAAAAATAGTTTTAAATAAAAAGAATTTGTACAAGTTTCAAAATCATTTATAACATTTTACATATATTATATCATATATGCAAAAACGGAGAAAATTAACCAAAAATGAAATGTTATCGATTGCTTTTGAACGTTTTGAACGTATGCTTAGTATATACTTTTAATTTAGAACCAAGAATACCTGTTATCAAAAAAGGATTGAATGGCTCTTATTTCGGTTATTCTGTAGCCGAACATCAAGAAATTTATGATGATAGGGCGGAAAAACCGAAAAGCTGGTATACACTCATAACTTATTTCAATTAAAGTTAAGCTTATGTATAACAAAAATACGTATTTACATTATATAATAGATGTATATTGTTGTTGTATATATTATTGGTATAATTGTTATCTATTTATTATATATCTATTTATTAATCTATTTATTATTAGTATATAACAGTAAGATAAAATGTATATAAACAATAAAAATACAATTTAAAATATTTGTTATACAAAGCTCTTTTAATTAAGTAATTATTATTTTTAATATAATGTATATATTTCATATCAAAATTATTTTAATTCATTTATATAACTTAATTAAAAAATTGTATTAAAAATTTAAAAAATTATATATGTTATAGGATGTTAATTGGAGCTCCATTAGATCAAAATAGGCAGCCAGAAACTAATAAATCTGGTGCATTATGGCAATGTCCTTTGACAACATATAAGACAGATTGTATTCAAGTGATCACAGATGGACGATCAAGTATGTTTTTAGTTAAAAAAAGATTTTTATACGTATTGATATAAACATTTTATTCATTGGTTATAAAGTTTAATTGTATATTAAAATTTTTATTTTTCTATTTTTTATTATAATACATGTCATGTTAAATTCATATATGATTTTGGTGTAGTCAGTGTGCATGTTATCTTTGATGTTAATATCCCATAAAATCATTAAGTTATTGTGCTTTATTTTATGTTGAATATGTAATAAGATTATTTTTTTGTTAAATTATGTGTTGGTTAACGAGCAGCAGAAGGGAGTCTGTATGACACAAGTAAGTCATTGAATGGTGTTATTTGAATGAGCAGTCTTTTAGTTTCTTTAGGAAATGTTTTATTATGGTTTTGTATATATTTATATTGGTATGTCCATCTTTATGTTAGCATGATATTTTAAATTATAAAGTAAAATTTATTTTATTGCATTATTTCTAATTTATAATTGAAAAATATTTTTTATCAAATGCACTATTAACAGTTATTTTTTCAAATTTATAACCATATTACTAACTATAAAATATTTCTACACATCTGTATATCAGAAATAAGTAATTTATATGTAACTTGCCTTCTCATTTATATTATGAATAATATACTTACTTGCTATTGCTTTTTAATCATTTTTCTGTTACCTATTTTTTATTTGCTATAGCATGAAATTTCATATTTATTTCATATTATTTAACTTTTAATTTAATCTTACCTTTTAAAAGAATTAGGTAGAATATTTTTATTTTACAACACATGCAAATATTTACTCTATTTTCTTCTTTTCTCCTTTCAAAGTTACACAATGTTTTATTATGATTCAAAATAAAAGAAAAATTATCAGGTAATTTGAAAACACAAGTAAATAATAAATTTATACTATTTAAAATCATTGATTAGAAACATCTATATTGTAACAATAAAATTTATATTGTTTGATAATTTATTTATTATCATTATTATTATTAACTGTTTAATAAAGTGTTTTCTAAATTTTAGATCTTGAAACTGATGATTTAGTGCCACCAGGTAATGATGAAATTAAAGATAACCAATGGTTAGGAGTTACAGTGCGCAGTCAAGGTATTGGTGGTAAAGTAATGGTATGAATTTTATTACACTTTATTTATTTATATTACTATATCAAATATAATTCAATGTAATAAATTTTTAGGTTTGTGCTCACAGACATATTGTCAAAACTGCAGATTCGCAATGGGGTCAAGGACAGTGTTACATATTAACACAAGACCTGAAATATCAAGATTTAAAGAAACCTTGCTCTGGGAAACCTACAAATAAGTAATTCATTTATTTAAATTATTTTTACTATAAATTTTTTATTATCAGTGTACATAATAAACTAATAAAAATTTACATTTCTATTTTAGAGCACATGAACAATTTGGATATTGTCAAGCAGGAACTAGTGGTGTACTTACTGTTGACGATCGTGTCGTTATTGGCACTCCTGGTCCACACACTTGGAGAGGAACTTTATATCTTTTTACTGTTTCAGATGAATTTTTAACTAGAGATAATACAATATATAATGCTCCAATGCAAGATTCCTCTCCTGTCAGTAAATATAGCTATTTAGGTATATATTTCATATAGAGACGATATGTTTATCATGTATGCATATAATGTATCTAATAACAGTATATTTAATTCATAAAAATATTGATAAAGTAACAAAATGGAAAAATTAATTCACAGGTATGTCTGTTACTGTGGGTAATTTTTTTGGTACTGGATTAGCTTATGCTGCTGGAGCTCCACGATCAAATGGTACTGGCCAAGTTATTCTACTTACAAGGCGCGATTTTAAACCAGATATGGATATTGCTTTTATTTTGGATGGTGAACAATTTGCTTCAAGTTTTGGATATGAAATTACTTCTGCAGATATCAATGGAGACAAGTAATATTTTTATAATTTTATATAATTTTGAAGCATATAATAAGCATACATATGGTTTACATTTATAATTATCTCATTTTCACTCTCTTATTTTTAGAATTACTGATCTTATTATAGCTGCACCCTTTTACTTTAATAAGGCAGAGGGGGGTGCAGTATATGTCTATAGTACATTACAAAAAGCATATATGGAACATGAAAAGAGTAAACCTATTAAACTTGTTGGACGTGAAGAATCAAGGTTTGATTTTCTATTTAAATTTACATATAAGTGATTGCAAAAATAAATTAATATAATTTACAATTCTAGATTTGGATTTGCTTTAACAAATTTAGGAGATTTAAATAAAGATGGGTATGAAGACATTGCTATTGGAGCACCATATGAAAAAAAGGGAACAGTATATATATATCTTGGTTCAAAAAGTGGGATAATCACAATACCATCACAGGTCTTGTGACATTATATTATATTGTAAAAGTGATTTTTATAATGTTATAATCTATTAATCTTTAAATTAAAATATTTAAATATAGGTAATACATGCAGAAGATATGCCAGAACCATTACAAACATTTGGATACTCATTGAGTGGTGGAATTGATATGGACCAAAATGGATATTCTGATTTATTGGTAGGAGCCTATGAAAATGATGCTGTAGCACTTCTTCGCTCAAAAAAAATTATTGATATTACCACTTATATACGATATTTAAAAAAAGATGGTACATTTCAAGAAAAAATAGAACCTATAGATCCTAATAAAGTTGGATGCCTAGAAGATTCAGATTCAAATCATACGTGGTATGTATAGCTTAATGTTAAGAATAAAATTATTTTCGTAAATATTTTCTTTATAAAATTGTATTTAATTTGTTACAGTTTCTCATTTGAAGCCTGTTGCAAAACAGAATCTTTAGTAAAAGAAGAAGATATGCAAAATCTAAAATTAAATTATTATATCGAAGCTGAAACTTATACTGGAGTCAAAAAATTCTCTAGAATTTGGTTTGGAGCTGGATATTCTCGTTTACATTATGTAAATCGTACTGTTAATTTAGATACAACAAAATTGGAACACTGTCAAAAAGAAATCATTTATTTGAAGGTAATATTTTATATACTACACACAGTATTTTTTTAAAATTTTTATTATATACAAACTAACATTAATAATTTATAATTGTATGTGATTTTTATTATTAGGAAAATACACGTGATATTCAATCGCCTATTAAATTTCGCCTAAATTATTCATTAGTACAAGAAGAACCAATTATGCCAATTGAAGGAGAACCTTTACCTGATATAAAAAATTATCCTATACTAAATCAACAGGAAGCTGCTCGTGTATTTGAAGCAACTTTTCAAAAGGATTGTGGCAATAATGACATTTGTGAAAGTGATCTACAAGTAAAGGCTCGATTAAATTTATCAGGTATATTTTTAACTAAATAAAGATAATATAACATTATAAATATAAAATTTGTTGAAGTATTATAAAAAAAAAATTAATAAAAATTAATCACGTATTTAATTGGTAGCTTCTTCTGTAAAACCAAATTTTTACGAACTTCTCCTGGGTGAAAGAGAAGAAGTTGTAGTGGATGTAAATGTGTCTAATATTGGAGAATCTGCATATGAAGCTCAATTATTCATTGTTCATTCCCAAAGTTTAAATTATATTGCTAGTAAAAGCAATGATTCTGTAATCTGTAATTTATATAATGCAACTATAGTA